GTAATGCAGAATTGTCATGTATGTAAACTGCATATTAGATACTTGTCTTTAAAAAAAAACTAAAATAATTACATTGATGTGAGGCATATCATTAATTCAATTATGAAAGTAATCACTTAGCAAACGAGTTCAGCATTTTGGTGTCTGTTAAGGAAGGAGTGTGATGGACAGGTATTTATGCATCTATCAACAGTGGCAAGACATGAAGTTGGGGGAAATAAACTTCTACCCCCCTCAAAAAGTGAGACCGTCAACAAGACAGAGGGACTACAACAGTGGACTCAAACACAGCAACACTTGGCAAGTATGACAAAGAACAGTATTTTGTTGTGTTGTACTTAGGGTCACTCTGAGTCATAGCCTACTTAACAGCACCTACCAACAACAGACTTTCGTCACAATTCCAGCAGTGCAAGAATGGAACAAGATCAGTGCCTCCGGCTCTAGTAGTGCCCACACTCAAGGACTGTGCTGGGGGGAGGGAGTGGGAAGGGTACCTTAGGTCTTAGGCAATGGATCTGTGAATGAATGTGCAGTGAGCACAAACTTCCCAAAGGTCTCACAGAAATTCCTATTTGTGTAATGCTATTAAGGGAAAGGCTGCTTTTTGTTTGTTGTTGTTAAGTGTCGTCGAGTCAGTTCCGACTCGTAACAACTCTGTATAGGGTTTCCACGGAGCAGCTGGTGGGTTTGAACTGCCAACCTTGTGGTTTTCAGTCCAGTGCTTATTATTCACTTATTAACAACCATACATAGCCACATACTATATGATTCCATTTACATACAACATCCAGAAGCGGCAAATCCCAAGAAACAGTAAATAGATTACTGGTTGCCAGGAACTAGGGGCTGACTGGAAGCGTGAGGTGGAAAGAATGAGCATGGATTTCTCTTGGGGGTTATACAACATTTTGGAATTAGACAGCAGTGATGGTTGTGTGGGAGTCCTGGTAGTGCATTGATTAAACCCTTGGCTGCTAACCAAACATTGGTGATTCGGACACACCTGGCAGCCTTTCTGTGGGAGAAAGAGGTGGCAGTCTGTGTCTATAAAGATTTGTTGTTGTTGTTACTGTTAAGTGCTGTTGAGTCAGTTCTGCCCCATAATGACCCTATGAGTGGCTAGTGAACTTGAACATCTAACCTTGTGGTTCAAACCAATTTTGAAATCCAGCGCATTAACCCACAGTGCCACACCAGGACTCCAGCCTTGGAAATCCTTTGGGGGTAGTTTTACTCTGTCTTATGGGGTTGCTATAAGTCAGAATCGATTTGGCAGAAATAGATTTGGTTTTGGGGATAGTTGTACAACTTCAAGAATATACTAAAAACCACTGAACTGTACACTTTAAAAGGGTGAATTTTATAACATGTGCATTATATCTCAATAAAAAGTTTCTTTATAAAAAAGAAGGAGGAAGGTTTCTATTATTATCTAGTAAATTTGCCTGCTCCTATCAATAATAGGGAGTCCTGATGTGGCGCTGTGGGTTAATGTGCCAAACTGCAAAGCCATTTGAACTGCAAGGTCAGTGGTTCAAGTTCACCAGCTGCTCCTCAGAAACCCTATACAGGGTCACTATGGGTTGGAACCAACTCTACGGCACTTAACAACATCATCAGTAATAGAGTGATGGACTCCTGGTATTGCGCTGTAGGATAAGTGCTGGACTGCTAAGCAAAAGTTCAAACCCACCACTCCTTGGAAACCCTATATAGGGTGGCTGTGACTCAAAACTGACTCAATGTAGCTTAACAACAACAACAACAAAAGGAGATAAAGATAATTCTGTCAACAGCTCTTGAGGATGAGAAGACAGAAACTAGATTTCAAACTGGTTTGGGTGGCCAACAAGTCTGGTACCAGGGATATACTTATTTTTAAATAATGTTAGCTACATTTTTCTGACTTCTAATTGACTTTCCACCTGAAGTACCTCTGTATTAAAAATGATGAGTCAAAAAAATAATGAGTCCAATTGTTAATCTGGAAAAAAATACATTAAGCACACTGTTTCCCTTTATTTTCATACTTTTCGGAACCCTACAGAAACCAGAATCAAAATCTAGAGATTTATTGAGCATCTTACCATATGTAAAATACTGCATGGGTCCATGAGAAGTCAGGGATTAAAGGTCCTTGCTCTCAAAAAGTTCAAAGACAAAATATGTACACAGAAAATTAGGATAATCAACGAAGACAGGTACACTAACTCTAAGGCACTGACTGCCCCGCAGTGTGCACTGGCCAGGCCGTCCACCGTCTCCATCTCCAACAGCAAGAGCTCATCTGAAGCCAGGTGCACCTGAGTCACACCCACTCATTTCCCAAGGTAGTGAATCATGAGAAAGACTAGAAAGCCAAATGAGCTATTCCAAACTTCATTTCCTCACCCTGCAATCTTTAGGCCCAATACAAACCATTTCTCCCAATCTATGTGCCTCTCTATATGATGTTCCAAGGAAAGAAAACAGCAAGAACAAAAGCTGAAAAGGGAGAAAAGAAGGAATTAGCAATAGTTTGGCAGGTGTGCCAATCCATTCCCTTCAGATTGACCTAAAAATATAAATTATATCATATTTGAAACCTATCCAAGACACTTAGGGAAAGAAGGAAAAAAAACAAAAACAAACGCAAACACCTTACAGACATCTGGGATAAATGCACACTTAGTTCATTGGCCAATGGCCCTGCCTGATTGCACGTGTACTTCTCCAGCTTTCCCCCACCACTTTCCTCACTCAGAACTGCCACTGGACCTGCTAAGCTGTCTCCAAACTCAGGACTCTATTCCCTCAGCCAGACTGGATCAGACAAACATAACATTACCTAAATGTTATCTACAATAACCTCATATGCATGTGAAAGTTGGACAGTGAATAAAGAAGACCATAGAAGAATTGATGCGGTTGAGTTAGGGTGCTGGAGGAGAATACTGAAAGTACCAAGGACTGCTAAAAACAAGCAGATCTGCTGGAAGAAGTATATAGCCAGAATGCTCCTTGGAAGCCAGGATGGCCAGATTTCGTCTCTTATACTTCAGACATGTTGTCTGAGAGACCAGTTACTGGAGAATGATACCACGTTTAGTAAAGTGGAGGATCGGAGAAAAAGAGGAAGATCCCCCCAACGAGATGGACTGACACAGTGGCAGCAGCAATGGGCTCGGCCATAGCAATGATTGTGAGGTTGGTCCAGGATCGGGCAGTGTGTCGTTCTGTTGTGCATAGGCTCACTATGAGTCGGTACTGACTCAATGGCACCAAACAACAAATGTTACGTGTCTGTTAAGATTACATACCACATGGCAATTTTCCCACCAATGTGAAAAAAAGGCTTTAATGCTATGCAGTATCTTTAAACTCCATATTCTTTGCTGGTTCAGTATAATTCAAGCAGGTAGGCAATTACTAAACTGTCTTCTAAGATGTTAGAAATGTAGTTAATAAGAAGCATAAATCTGTAAAATACACACATACATATGGGTATGTGTTAAAGAACTCCTCAGGCAAGTAAAATACACACAATAAGAAAAGTAAAGGAATGTACTACTGGGTTATTTTTTTCATATTATAAATATAGTGATGTACAAGCCATTCAGAAGCAGGATTGCCTACAAACTTAAATGTATTTTGCTTGTTGCTTAAGTGCCGTCAAGTCAGTTCCAACTCATAGCGACCGGTATAGGGTTTCCAAGGAGCAACTGGTGGGTTTGAACTGCTGAGCAATAAATGTTAAGTGCCATCAAGTCGGTTCAGATTCATAGGGACTCTGTATAGGGTTTCCATGGAGGAGTGACTAAATACTCAATATGTGTGTACATGGAGTCCTGGTGTGGTGCTGCAGGATGATGTGCTGGACCTCAAGGTCAGTTTAGATCACAAGGTCGGCAGTTTAGACTCATCACTTCTCAGAAACCCTATATAAGGTTGCTACAGGTTAGAACCGACTCAATGGCACTTAGTAGCAACAACATATGTATGTGTGTGTGTATTTGTTGTTGTTAACTGCTGTCGAGTCAATTCTGATCCATAGCAACCCTGTATACGGTTTCCAAGGAGCAGCTGGTGAGCTTGAACCACCAACCTTGAAGTTCAAACAGCTTTGCAGCATTAGCCCACAGTGCCACACCAGGACTCCCATACATATATAGATAAATATAGATATACAGACTCCTGGTGTGGCCTTGTAGCCACAAGGTTGGTGGTTCAAACCCACCAGCTGCTCCTCAGAAACTCTATACAGATCGCTATGAGTCAGAACTAATTTAACTGCACTTAACAACCATAGTTTATACACAACCTCAACTAGTAACTAGGTCAGATCTTAATCTTGTAAAATTCATTTTTAATTCAGTTTAATTATTTATTTATATAACCAATGAGCTATAACAAGACTATTATAATTTGTTTATATAACAAGGTAAGCATCTTCCAAGTTTGCCTGTAATAACTAAGAAGCCCTTTTTAAAATCAAGAAGATTTTCCCCAGTGTCTATATTAATATTAATTCTGAATTAAGAAAGTCTTAACTAATGAAATGTTACTATTTATGTACGTAAGCATATAGGAAAAATAATGTTTAGAAAAAATGAATCAGCTCTCTATACCTGTTAAGACCTATCCAACATACATTAGATGGTAACACACCTAGCAGCATAACCTCAAGAAAAATACGGCTAGCCATCAGGTGACTCAGGATACGTGAAGGGTTCCTGAAAAAAAAGAACTACATGACGGACCTCCTGGCCAAGCTCGAGGCCTCCAAAATCTGTAACCTTAAGCAGTCAATACTGTTCTCTGATACTTTGACTTTTTCTCTCTGGGAAATGCGGCTAACGTCCAGGTAGCCGTTCAAACCCACCAGCCGCTCCACGGAAACCTTATTGAGGGTCGCTATGAGTCGGAATCCACTCGATGGCATTTAATAACAATTAGTCTGGACAGCAGCCCTCGCTGGGGAAGGGAAGGTAGGGTGGGTTGCACAGTGAGCCACTTACGAGATGTAGGCTGGGTAGCCAAATCCTATCAGGTTGCAGAGGAGGGAGGCTCCATAACCGAACACCAGGTACAAGGCCACCAGTCCTATGGTACCTGGAGACACAAGGAGAGAAGGGTTTGGGTGACACAGTGGCACTCAAAAGGGCAGCCGCCCACATCGCGAGGTTTGGCCTGTTCTAGGCGTTTTCCTCCTGACTCGATTAAACGAGCAAGAAAAACAAACCACACAAAGGGTAGGCCTGCGCCTCCGCTGGATGTGTTGGGTCTGAGGACACCCGGCAGCCCACACCTTTGTGCTTGCCCCTTTCCTTCCTCCTTCCCTTCCGCGTAGGCGCCCAGCAGAGTCCCGAAAGGCCGAGGCACTCAGCCTGCGAGCCCGCTCTCCCTGTGCACTGGCCTGGGACATCTGGCTCTACGACGATCTGGAAAGGCAGGGAGTCCCGTGTCTGCCTGCGCCCAACACCCCTCCTGGTAAAACACCGCCTTCTCTTGGCAGGGCTCCAACGAAGGTGCAGGGAGGTGGCAAGCACCCCCGTTGCTCCGCGCCAAACCTGCGCACTGCCAATGGGGCAGACACGTCAGCGCAGGCCAGTTCCCGCTCCCCCACTTTTACCCCAGCGCTCGCCGCTACCATCCCCGCCCGCTACCTGGCCTGCGGACACAGGCCAGTGACAGCCCTGAAGGGGACTCCGAAGGCCAGTTCCCGGAAGGCCAGTTCGGTCTAGCATGCTCGTCCCCCTTCTGTCACCAACATCTCCTTTCCCGAACCCTTTCCACGCTTTCCTCCCCAGCAGCAGCAGCTGGTGCGGCAGCGGCGAACCCCAGCGGACCGTGCCTCGCACCCACCCAACGCGATGTAGCTTCGGTTCACGCCGGTCTTGGCCTCGAGCTTGGCCAGAAGGTCGGTCATGCAATTCTTTTCGTGCAGGAACCGGTCGAACCTCTGCCTCATGGCTGCAGACATGGCGGGGACCGTCGCGCCGTTGCCCCGGGATTGCTACTTGTGTCGAGTGGACGCAGAGCCGGGGTGACTAAGGCTGGGGCCGACGCGGCGGCGGCGGCAGGGCGGGCGGGGCGCGGGGCGGACGGAGACAGCCTTGCGTTCGACGCGCTCCCCTTTACTAGCGGCTCGGCCCCTCTTCCCCGCCCCCAGCTCAGCGGGGAGCGCCACGCCCAGGCAGCGGCCTGCCCTGCGCCTCCCTGGGGTGGCTTCCGGCAGGACGACCGTTCTAGGGCCCCACGGGTCTGCTAATAATCTTAATCCTTTGGAGGAAAAAAGAGGATAACGAGGGGGAACTTGTATTTTTCTTGTTGTTTCTTGTGTTTTTCTCTCTCAAATAGGCTAGTGCAAAAAGCAGGTAGCAGGGAGGCGTTCTTGTTTGAATTGCAGTTATAGGGAGCTGGTTTGATGTACCTACAGTGTGAAAAACAGTTTTTAGTTCTGGAATTCAATTGTTCGGGACCCAAGAAGTGCAGGTGACCCCCTACCCCCACCCACCCCCGGCCATTATCCTTACATGTCCTTTTAAACAGTTTTCCACAAAGCCCCTGGGTAGATTCCAGTCGCCAACCTTTAGGTTAGTAACCCATCACAGTTATCTACATTTGCCTTCAAATATTATCCTGAAGAAAATATTTAAAAGTCTAAGACTTAGGGCAGGTCCTAATTTATTTTTCCTCCTGTCATGTCCATGGTGTTCCTGGAGATGCCCAGTGTCATCCCTAAATCTAGGCTCTTGTTACCTCACCTACATTATATATGATGAAGCCTTTGAAAATTTGCGGAATAATTCCATTATCTTTTCATTCCATTTTCCTGTGAACTTTTTGAACCCCTCTCGTGTTAAGTAGACTCCTTTTAAATTATTCTTTTTGACTGCTGTGAGCCATTTTGCACACTGCTGCAGAATTTTCCTCATCATTGCCTAAGCTTCCAAGGCTCTCTATTAGAGTCCAGAATTCTGACTCTTTAGTATTTCACCCAATGTCCCTCAAGAAAACTGGGTCCCAACAATCTCTCCTTTCCCTACACAACCCCTCTACTCTTTCAAGTTGACTCAATTACTGAACCAGTTTCCACTTTCATACTGCCTTCCACTTCTGCAAAACCTTCTCTTGACCACTTCCAGCTTTTTTCTTTTACTCTAACTGTTATTCCTCTTTTTTCTCAGTCCCCCATTACCCAGTCAAATCAGTGAACAGAATAAAATAAATAAAATAAGAAGAAGAATGGGCTCATTGTGATTACCTCCCACTGGACTACCCATTTGTTTTTCAACCTATGATCAATTCTCAGTGTCATAGCCAGAGAAATCTTTTTTTAAATGTGAGTTGTGTATGTTATTGTTTTACTCTGAACCCTCCAGTGGCTTCCCACTTGATGAGAAATAAGAACTGCTTCCTACAGTGGCCTAGAAGGTCCAAAGTGATGTGGATCATCTCTTACTGCATGCCTTCATGTTGTGAATCAAACTAAGCCCACTCCTGCCTCCAGGCCTTCACTTCTGTTCAATTTCAATTTTTCTCGGAGACAAGGTGGAACACTTGGGAACATGTCCCAGTGGACATTTGACTAGGTCTGAACAATTTTTTGATGGTCAGATCTGAGGTAGGAGGTGCTACTATTACCTAGGAAGGATTGGTCCAGAATGCTGCTAAACCTCCTACAATGCACAGAACAGCCCCCTCCCTCCCCAAATAAAGAATTATGTGACCCCAAGATCAAGTGTAGTATCTGTTCTTACCAGTTTAATATCCGATACTTTTTTTAGGAGTCTTGGTGTGGCTCTGTGGGCTAATGCAGTGGACTGCAACATCAGTTTGAACTGTATGGTCGGCAGTTCAAACTCACCAGCTGCTACTTGGAAACCCCATACAGGGTCACTATGGGTAGGAACTGACTCAATGGCACTTAACAACAGCGAATGTCAATAGCTCTGAGATTGGGAACCCTGCTCTATCTAAAAAAGTGCATTCCCCAAACAACTACTTAATTGTGTCCTCACATGATTCAGTTTTTCGCTTAAATGGAACGTCTCTGAGGTCCTCCCTGGACCTGACTTCCAACTCCCAGCACTCTCTAGTCCTGTCTTGCTTTTTGTTATTCTCCATAGCACGTATTACTATCTGGCATCCTATATGAGGTACTTTCTTTATTGTTTTTCTCTTCCCGTTAGATTATGCACTCTAGGAAGGTGAGTATTTTTGCCTATTTTGTACCGCAACTATCTAGAACAGTGCCCAGCACATAGGTGTTCAAAACCTATTTGTTAGATGAATGACTAACATGTATTTTGCCAGGATTTGCCAGAATTGATGCCTTTTAATTATGTGTTGGCAAAGACTATTGAATATATATCATGGACTTCCAGAAGAACAAGCAAATTGGTCTTGGAAGAACTACAGCCAAAAGCTCTTTAGAAGCAAGGATGCCGAGACTTTGTCTCTCATACTTTGGATATGCTATCAGGAGGAACCAGTCCTTGGCAAAGGACATTATGATTGGTTAAAGCAGAAGATAAGCAAAAAAAGAGAGAGAAAGACCTCGGTGAGATGAACTGACAAAGTAGCAATTATTATGAGAGTGGCACAGGAATGGGGGGTATATCAGATATTTTTTGTACATTGGGTTGCTATAAATAAGAACCTACACAATGGCTCCTAACAATAGCACATACGTTAATTTATTTCATCCTCACAATTGCATGAGGAAGAAACTACCAGTATTATGACTATTTTAGGCAAGGAAGTGACTTACAATGACATCTTACAAGTAATAAATAACAAAGCTAGGATTCAGACTCAATATTTTGCCTCTATAGTATACTGCCCAATGAGCCCTGGTGGAGTAGTGGGTGACTGGCTCATTGGGCTTCTAACCAAAAGGTCAGTAGTTTGAATCCACCAGTGGATCCATGAGAGAAAGAGACTGTTCCTGTAAAGATTTGCAGAGTCACTAAGAATTGGAACTCACTTGACGACACACAACCACAACCACAAATTAGACTGCCCAGCAGAATAACTGAATTTTAAATGTTTCAACAAGTTGTCATTTTATATAATTTCTTACTCCACCAGTAAAGTACTTGAAGTTATTAATATCAGATGTTACAGTCATGTTTTTGCATACTTAAAATGATTCACCCCTCACTCGTCTGTCAGTTTATCATACTATGTTATGTGCCATCGAGTCGGTTCCGACTCATAACGACCCTATACAGGGTTTCCGAGGCTGTAAATCTTTATGGGAGCAGAAAGCCTCATCTTTCTCCCGCAGAACCACTGCTAGTTTCAAACTGCCGACCTTGAGGTTCGCAGCCCGATTCGTAACCACTATGCTATCATACTATGGTAGCTTATATATTGCAATGACACTGGAAGCTATGCCACTGGTGTTTCAAATACTAGCAGGGTCACCTGCTGAGCTTCCAGACTAAGACCAGACTAGTATGAAGAACTAGGCCATTTCTGAGGGATGAATTACTGAACACTATCTGATATAGTGTTCACATATACACTGTGACCCTCGGGTTGGAAGGCATTCAAAATACAACCTGGGAAGAGCTGCCTCCTCAAAGTAGAGTTGACCTTAATGACGTGGATAGAGCAAAGCTTTTATGATGTTCATCTCTTGATGGGGCATGACTCAAAATGAGAAGAAACAGCTGCAAATATTCATCAATAATCAAATGTGTAAAGTGTGGATCTAAGAAAATTGTAAGTCATCAAAAAAGAAATGGAATGCATAAAGATCATATCTTAGGCATTGGTGAGCTGAAATGGATTGATGTTGGCCATTTTGAATCAATCATATGGTTTACTATGCCAGGAATGACAAATTGAAGAAGACGCCATCACATTCATCATCAAAAGGAACATTTCAAGATGTTTCTTGAAGTACAATGCTGTCTGTGACAGGATAATAACTATACCCTATAAGGAACACCAAGGAGCTCTGGTAGCATAGTGGTTACGAGTCGGGCTGCCAACCTCAAGGTCAGTGGTTCGAAACTACCAGATGTTCTGCAGGAGAAAGATGAGGCGTTCTGCTCCCGTACGGATTTATAGCCTCGGAAACCCTGTGGAGGGCCACTATGAGTCAGAACTGACTCCACCGTACTTAACAACAACAGCAACATAAGGAACACTGCGGGGAGCGCTTAACTCTAGGTGCTTGGCAAGGCCGCACTAAGAGGAGCGACATTATGCACGGCATATGATTCTCAAAAGCTGACCCTTATCTTCCCTTCAAGTTAGCCCTGAATTTACTTATAAAAAATATATAATATGGCAATAGTCTCAGCTTTCACTATGAGTTTTACAAACCTTAGGAAAAACTAGCTTAGCAGCAATTGCTTTCAGCCTTGGTGGATTGAATACAAAGAGAAATTATATAAATTACTCCCTTTCCTTAGAAAACTTAAATAACTGCATTTGTGAGGCCACAAAAACAGATAGCATTTAGAGTCAAGCTGACCTACCCCCAAAGGCCTCACCACACTCAGTCACTAGCTAGAATTCACAAACCCCTACATACAAACACCTGCATAAATAAGTAGACAATAATGAACTTCAGTGAAGAATAGTTTTGACTTTATAATCTACACTTCTTGCAGCAAGTAGCCAGGTTGGGCTTTATGCCACATAGCTCTTAAGTGATTTAATGAATACCTTTATTATAAAAATAATAGCACATTTTGTAGGATAGAAGTTTATAGTCTTTTAGTAGAAACAAGAAGAAACAGTTTTATCTCATACTGGGAAAGGAGATGAAGGTCAGTCTGAACATCATAGAAGTATTTTTGTCAAGGTTGTCTAATGACCATGTGCAAGAATGTTGTGACTAACTGTGTAATAATTCAAGAAATGATAAAAGTGTCAATGCATGTACTGTGTAATTTTAAG